AGTTATTTAATTTGTAGATTAAAGAATATTGAAGTAAAGCATATTTTGTTAGATACCTCGAGAATAAATTTTCTTCTATAAAGAAGCTGAAATGGTACACTGTCAAAGTACGACAGATTTATTAAAGATCGAAAGGTATTGGTTTATTACGGCGTTGATTGAACTCAAAGTTAATAAAAATCTTTCTTCAGATTTCATTCCCAAGTAAATTCCGTTTAAATTACTCATTGGATCCATTTCTGCTAAACGTTCTCTTAATAAATTTTTTGTGACGTTTGATAACATCAAAGTATCGGAATTGAATCATCGGCATTCTACTTTATCCAATATTCAGAATCAGACCGGTTGATGTTGGTGACATCGTGTAGGTACATATAGAATAAAAATTTTGCAGCGATTTCAGATTGTTATAACTCATACGAAGAATAATTAAGAAGTTAACTGAATGCCCCACAGAAATATTGCGGGTTTTCTATTTACAGACCTAAAAATAGAGGATGTACAATTGCCCTTAAGACTACGTAAGGGTTTCGAAGATAAGCCAAATTAAAAAAGCTTCAAATAAATCAAATTGTGGTTCTTGTAATAACACGGCGTTGAAATGCAGAGAGAGAGCTTTAAACGCCTTGAAAGTAATTCGTTTGCTGCTAATCAAAAGTTTATTCCTGAATTTACAAAATAGAGAAAACGATGCAAAATTGTAAATTGCTTCTGAATTTTTAGACATATGAGGGTAATAGTTAATTAAACTGGAACAAGCTACAGTGCAACGTGTGCACCAAATAAAATTTTTGTAAACAGTTTATAAATTTTGTTATTTATTTATGTAGCCAAATTAACTTAAAGAATTGTATTTCTTCATTGTTAATTTAGTAAAAAATAGTCAAAATTTAGAAGTTGACTTTTAATTCGTTTCTAATATAATTACTAAAAGGTGAACGTTATTGTTGCTTTGATCTTAGTGATGTATTGAGAAGGGGTATGTGTGTTACACTTGTGTTTTGCTCCCTTTCCTTTGCATCTTTCCAT